ACTTTTATAAAGAATATCTCTTTGGGTTTGAGACTTTAGTCTTTGCAACTTTAGAGATCGTATCTATTCACAAACAGCTTATAACACTCCAAAGAGAAAGGCAAACTTGAAATTGCATCATATGACCCCTTTAAACTGTGAGGATGTCCCACCCTTCAGGAGGCGAGTGAGCCAATGAGAAAGTCTTCCTTCTGAGGGAAAATTTACGACCCTTTGTTCTCAGGCATATGTTTTGCATATGGACTTTGACTGGATGTTAATGAAGAAACTATTAAAGATTCTGGTAACACTAATACCTTCCATAGGTATCAACATGCACGTCTCGTCTGTCTGAAAGAGAGGGTTGATGCAATCTGAAGGCTCAAGTTGATCTTTGCTGGAGTTGGTTGATGAAAAAGAACCAGTTTGAGTCAGAGGATCTTGAAGTGGAAAGACTAGGCCGAAGCCTGGCACAAGCTTAGGTTGGGTTCTTGAGGTCTCTTAGCTCTGCATCTTGCCCTGGAGTTTCTGCATCTGAAAACTTCTTCTGTTTAACTCTGATCTTGTGATCTTTTAAACCAGGGGTTTCAAACTCAATTCCTGGAGGGCAGCAGCCCTGCAGAGTTTAGATTCAACCCTAATTAAAAACACCTGATCTGAGACTTTAGTCTTTGCAACTTTAGAGATCGTATCTATTCACAAACAGCTTATAACACTCCAAAGAGAAAGGCAAACTTGAAATTGCATCATATGACCCCTTTAAACTGTGAGGATGTCCCACCCTTCAGGAGGCGAGTGAGCCAATGAGAAAGTCTTCCTTCTGAGGGAAAATTTACGACCCTTTGTTCTCAGGCATATGTTTTGCATATGGACTTTGACTGGATGTTAATGAAGAAACTATTAAAGATTCTGGTAACACTAATACCTTCCATAGGTATCAACATATAATATAAATGAAAATTTAGACCATTAAAAATGCAGCCGAAAGATACCAAACATGGCATACCTGTGATCTCTGTTAACAATAGTATGCAATTCTAAAATGTTCATTTAAAAGAGTTCATATAAATACATAAGAAAAACACTATAAGAAAATTGGGTACATGTCCCTACATTTCTCAAGTGGTTATATCTAGAGGGAGATGGACTGTATTGTACAAGGTTACATTTGCCTGTTTCAAAGTGAATTTAGAGTGAAAACTCTACATTCCTTTGAGTTGTAAAACAATCTTATCTTGATGTATGTCTTTGTTACCACGGTAACCAGAGGCCTGGTTCTCCCTACCACATGTTTTACTTGTTGGGGAGGGGTATTGACACATGAATACTCGTGTGTCTGATCCACCTCAATCATTACAGTCTCGAAAGGAGGCGAATGGAACAGCAGTCTGGGTGGTATTATGGTATGGAAAGTAGATGAAGAAAATGGGCAATACCGCTTTTTGTGTCCCAATTGTTCGTCTGTTGCTTCCAGTATTGTTAATATGGGGATGTAATGATAAGTTCCTTCTGTATTTGCATATGTAGGGTTGTCAGACATAGTTGAAAAAGATGGGCAATGCCACTGTCTGCGTCCCACTTCACCATCTGTGGTCTCCCCAGTATTGTGGATATGAAGGTAGAAGCAATATGCTCTTTCTGTATTTGCATATGTATGATGTAGGGGCATAGCTCAAGAAGATGGGCAATACCACTTATTGCGTCCCACTTCCTCACCTGCCACTTTTCTAAAGGGTGAATACGGAGATGGAAGTGTTACACCGTGTCCTAACTACACACGCCGCAAAGTTTTTGTCCTAACCAGCCACATCTGCGACACACAAAGTTTCAATTTTAGAAACGGTTTCTATTTCCGCAACGTCGCGGCTGGAACAACAACATACAAACTATGACATTGCTAATCTCAGGTACTGATTATGTCTTTTATTCAATGTTAAAAGTGTCTAATGTGAGTTTGATTATCATTCGCATGACATTTATAGCCATACTGAAAGCAACAATAGATAGTTTACCTCAGATCTTGAAAAAAAATTAAAGCAAACATGTACGTTAAGACTGTGAACTCAATGCTAACCAACAAGTGTATTCCATAAAGATGGTATCAATCACTAAGTATTTACTTTTAATAATGTTAAAAATGTTTAATAATAGATGATAAACATGTCCATTTTGCTGGGAGTGCAGTGCACTTCTGAATGGTTTTAATATTGAGTGATTCTGTCGCGTTGCGTTGTCGTGCCGCATTGCGTCGCGTCTGGTGTAGACAGCCAGATTTCTTGTCGCTGGAATCTTGTCTCGTCGCATGTAGTTAGGACACAGTGTTATGCTCCCTCTGTATTCACATTTGGGTTGGCAGACATAGTTGAGGAAGATGGACAAAACCACTGTTTGCGTCCTACTTCATGAGCTGTTGTCTCCCCAATATTGTGAATACAGAGGTAGAAGCAATATACTCTTTCTGTATTGCATGATATATATGGCGTAGATGAGGAAGGCTTCTTCTTGCACCCCACTTCTCATTTCTTCAGTGTTGTGAGTACAGAGGTAGAGGCATATGTTTTTTATGTGCAGATACAGAGGAGGAAGATGCCACTTCTCGTATCCCAGTCCTTCATCAGTTGCATTTCCAGCAGTTATGGAGGTTTGCGATTGAGCACTTTCCTTATGAGGAGAAGGTAAGGTTTTATCACACCCCCTTCATGAGGTTTCGAGGGTTGCATCAGTGCATGTCCCTATGTGATCATAGGTGAATGGGCAGTACCCGCCACTGGCGTCTCATTCCTTCTCCTGCCACCCCTCCA